TGAAAATCTCAAATTCAGCATATCAGAAAATTAGAATATTACTGAAGACCAATAAAAACAAAGGATTTATAGAAATGTTGGCCAACTGAAAAGTATGAACATGAAAAGTATGAGCATGTACAGCACTCAGTATTTAGTTGGGGCTCCTTTGGCCTGTATTACTGCAGCAATGCGGCGTGGCATGGAGTCGATCAGTCTGTGGCACTGCTCAGGTGTTATGATAGCCCAGGTTGCTCTAATAGTGGCTTTTAGCTCTTCTGAATTGTTGGGTCTGGTGTATTGCATCTTCTTCTTCACAATACCCCATAGATTTTCTATGGGGTTAAGGTCAGGAGAGTTTGCTGGCCAATTAAGAACAGGGATACCATGGTCCTTCAACCAGGTACTGGTAGCTTTGGCACTGTGTGCAGGTGCCAAGTCCTGYTGGAAAATGAAATCTGCATCTCCAAAAAGTTGGTCAGCAGCAGGAAGCATGAAGTGCTCTAAAACTTCCTGGTATGTGGCTGCGTTGACCCTGGACCTCAGAAAACACAATGGACCAACACCAGCAGATGACATGGCACCCCAAACCATCACTGACTGTGGAAACTTTACACTGGACTTCAAGCAACGTGGATGAAGTGCCTCTCTTCTTTTCCTCCAGACTCTGGGACCTTGATTTCCAAAGGAAATGCAAAATTTACTTTCATCAGAGAACATGACTTTGGACCACTCACCAGCAGTCCAGTCCTGTTTCTCTGTAGCCCAGGCAAGAYGCTTCTGACGCTGTCTGTGGTTCAAGAGTGGCTTGACACAAGGAATGCGACAGCAGAAACCCATGTCTTTCATACGTCTGTGTGTGGTGGTTCTTGAAGCACTCACTCCAGCTGCAGTCCACTCTTTGTGAATCTCCCCCACATTTTTGAATGGGTTTTGTTTCACGATCCTCTCCAGGGTGCGGTTATCTCTCTTGCTTGTACATTTTTTTCGACCACATCTTTTCCTTCCCTTCGCCTCTCTATTAATGTGCTTGGACACAGAGCTCTGTGAACAGCCAGCCTCTTTAGCGATGACCTTTTGTGTCTTGCCCTCCTTGTGCAAGGTGTCGATGGTCGTCTTTTGGACAACTGTTAAGTCAGCAGTCTTCCCCATGATTGTGTAGCCTATAGAACTAGACTGAAAGACCATTTAAAGGCCTTTGCAGGTGGTTTGAGTTAATTAGCTGATTCGAGTGTGGTACCAGGTGCCATCCATTTTGAACCTTTTCACAAGATTCTAATTTTCTGATATGCTGAATTTGAGATTTTCATTTGTTGTCATTTGTATTCATCAAAATTAAACGAAATAAACATTTGAAATATATGAGTTTGTATGTAATGTATGAATATAATATACAAGTTTCACTTTTTAAATGGAATTACTGAAATAAATCTACTTTTTCATGATATTCTAATTTTATGACCAGCACCTGTATATATAAATTTTGCATCCAGCCCCACCTCAGACTATCTGAAATATACCTTAGTACAGTTACCTTTACAGTAGTTTGATGTAAAGTGCAACCTTTAATTTTTATAAAGCATCCCAGATGGGTCATTTTGTATTAAAGAAATATACTAAAAATTATGGTTTGATATGAACATGATAAAAAAATGAAAAAATAAATTGCWGACATTCACCACGAGGTGAGAAGTTTCAAAAGGCATTGAACAGAAGAGTTCTGGTGTCTGGCTTTCATGCTTTGTCAGTGAAGTGGAAGATYTCAGTGGAGCATTGTTGAATATTTTTAGTTCCAGGCTTTGTGTCAGTGTGATCACAGAGTGCTGCTGAGGAAGTCTGGAGGCTTAAAAGGAAACATTTGAACCAAAGATTAAGCAGGAAATGCTTAAATTTTCACATCTTGAATACTTTTGCAACCTCCTGCTGTAACAGTCTATGTTCGCTGGTGGTTTATAAATCAGGGATGAATATTTTGTTAAGTAGTAAACAAAATAATACAAAAAAATATTTTCTTTGGTATTAACCGTTTGTGTAATGACAGATGTAATGACATAAAATCCCAACTTCAAATAAACCTTTGACTTTAGTTGTTTCACATACGGAACAAACTCCAATACTGCTGGTTTACAGAAAATAAGAAGCCAACAAGCTGTTTGTGTCTCAAAATATTTAATCGTTGCCAGGTTAAGATGCCTCTAATATACATTTATAAGCTTTAAATGTACAATATCTTACAACGTACATTTGATGATACGACTTGTCTGCAGTAGAAAGGACGGCTAGGCTCAAWAGACAACAGGGAAGGAAGAACCCCCGCCGACATCAGCGACTTGAAAGTAAAACTCACAAAGAAGAGTTTGGACAAATTTAACAAACTGCCCCAGTTTGTCCAGATGTGCATGAAATAAGTCAGGAAGAGAAAAAACAAGGTGTTCAGGCTGGTTTGGTGCATCTCAGCAGTCTGACCTTAAAACAGTGAACAGATCGTGGATGCRGTTGCCAACAGAACAAGAAACCAGGGTCTGTGATTTAATTACAAACATTTTTGTATCATTTAGCACCTTTTTAAATCTATATTCCTTTGTGGTGTTAGCAGACTGAAGCTACAGGCAGAGCATTCAAAATTTTAAAAAAGGTGAAACCCAACTTTCATCATGACTGATGTGCTGGAGTCAAATTAGACCGAGGCTCARTGTTGTTTTATTTTTTATTTTTCTTAAAGAGAGATCCTGACCATTCTGATGCATTTGTGGCAAAGTTTGGTAACAAATAATATTTACTTGTAGATAACTCTTTGAACAGCATCACATTTTGGAGAAACCAATGACTGACTGGACTAAGCTAGTCCTAACACAGAGGGTCACTGGAAACCTTAAACCACTCCAMTCTACAAGATTTCATAGCAAACRCTACTTTTTATAAACCTACACCACTAGCAACATCTCATTAGTTATTTCTGTGGTTATTTGTACCAACAGTGGTAACTTTTGGTTTTCTTATGTTAAGGTTTATAGTGTACGCACCAACCATTAACCAACCATTAAAACACTAAGAATTTCAAAGATGACATGTTTGCTTTAAAAACAAACTGTAAATATTGTGCCAAGTGTCCTCGTCTTCTCTTGTTGGCGGACCTGGTTTATGAAAGCTACCATGTCGTATTTCTGGAACAAGAGTGTGTGCAGTGTGATGTGGGACTTTTAAAATCCACCTACTGCTCCTGCACACAATCACGGCGTTACTTATCCTTCCTTTCGAGCATGGATTAAATAATTACAGCTAAATATGTAAKAGAAATTAATATTTGAACGTACAGCAACAAGTTTGTGAATAAGAGGCAACACTGTTTGTTTAGGGGTTCGTGTAACTGTTTTAACGTTTCAAAAAATTTCTCATCATAATAATTTTGACAGAAATATGTGGATTTTCCCGCAGGACGTTTTCCAGCATCGGCCAAAATTGTTAAAGCGGTTTGCACTGGTAAATATTCACAAAATTGTATATAAATATCTGTATATTGCAAAAGTTACAGCAATGTTATGGGAAATACTGACATGAACCTATTCACGTTTGGAGATTAGAACAGTTTTAGGATAACAGTGATCCACTTTGATCTTGTTTGATTTCTKGATCAAGTCAAAATCAAACTGTTCCTCCAAAATGAAGTCTTTTGAACAGCAAACTACAATAAGTTCCATTTTAACAACATTTGCACAGAAATCCCATTCAAAATGGTCAAAGTTTTCCCTAAAGCAGGAGTGGGCAATCCTGGTCCTCGAGGGCCGCAGCCCTACATGTTTTATGTTTTTCCTGCTCCAACGCCTGATTCAGACATCGATTTACCGTCTAAGTTCTGCAGTATGGAGGACCGACACTGACATAATTATAAATAAAAGCAGAAATATATAAATAAACCACTAAATAAATAAATACACCTAAAGTGCACCAATTCAATTAAAAAAGAACTTCACCTCATGTTTTGTAATTTAATTCTCGTTTAATAGATTTTTTTTTGACAATTCAAAATTGACTGTTTTTTTAAAATATATATTTTTCAGTTTTTCCTTTTACTTGTACATTCATTAGTCTCTTAAATGTTTAAATTGAAACATTTTATAGTTTTGTCCCACAAGTCTTTTTTTGTTTCGATGTGTTGCAGGCGTGTGCTGCCTCAGTTTAGCTTAAAGTTTAAAGTTTAGTTAAAAACAACGGCACGGGTAAGTTTTTCTCCTTGCCTTTGTTTTAAACTAAACTTTAAGCTAAACTGAGGCAGCACACGCCTGCAACACAGAGAAATAAAAAAGGCTTGTGGGTAAAATATAAAAATAATCAAGTATAAATATTAAAGCGACACAAATGCATGTAGAAGTAAAAGGAAAAACAAAAACATATGTATTTTAAAAAACATTCAAATCTAAATTATGTGTTAAAATATATAGACTAACTTATAGTAACCTGGAAAAATAAATATTAAAGTCATTTCAAACAAAAAAAACATGAGATAAAGTTCTCCTTTGTTATTTTAATTGGTGCATTTCAAATGTATTTATTTAGTGGTTCATTTATATAATTCTGCTTTTATTTCTAATTATGTCGGTTTCGGTCCTCCGTACTGCAGAAGCCTGATAATCATCCATTCATTCATATCAGGTGTGTTTGGAGCAGAGAAGCAAGTAAAACATGCAGGGCTGCGGCCCTCCAGGACCAGGATTGCCCACCCCTGCCCTAAAGTAAAGCAAGGACATGAAGGTGGACAGCAGAGGTAACAGAGATTTAAGAGAGCAACAAAATGAAAAGCTGCTGTAGTGACAATATAGTTTAACTTATGTCTTCATTGTAGTTTTTGAATTGACTATTTGAGTTTTCCTGCYGTTTGTTGTTTCTGTTCACTGATTTGTGTTTTATCACAGCAGAGCAAAAATACAACTCATAATAAACCCACTGCTTCTATTTCAGGACCAAATAATGTAAGTATTGTGTTTGTAGTTTGCCTGTGCAACCCTAACCTAATTCAGAAGAAACATGATAAACTGATTTTATTTTACTACTTGTAACCTCTTTCCACGTCCTCAGCTGTCGGGTTTTAGATCAGTACAAATTTATCTTTGATATTTCTTGTAGAATTTTCATTGGCTGCTTTTGGAGCCATTTTCTCTGCAATCATTTTGGGTGTGTTTGAGTCGGGCTGGGGGGGTGGGTCTCCTCTGTCTTCTTCTCATTTATCTCTTTTGTTTACTTGGCTTCCTTCTCCGTGTCCAGCAGCGCGGAGCGTATGTCGAGCTTCTTCAGCTCCTCCACCAGATCTCCAWTCTGGTGCATCTGGAGCAGGATGTCGCAGCCGCCCACAAATTCCCCATTAAAGTACACCTGAGGGATCGTGGGCCAGTTGGAGAAGGCTTTGACTCCTGTTGTTACAGAGAAAACATGTTGGATCAGGACAACGACTGACGACAGACTAACTGATTTAAAAAAAAAATAATAATAATTTCTTTCCATTGTTTAAAGCAGTGGTTCCAAAACTTTTTATCTTCTGACCCACAAAATATCCATGGCAAAAACTTGTGACCCCAAATATTACTGGTCTGAGTACACGAACTTCGTTAATAACCCTAAAAACACAGGCTTTTTGACAATCTAAACAGCTTGTACATGAATATAAATACTTATTTATAC